GAGTAAACGTTTTAACTGTTGAAGGTCTAAAGGACTTAGACAGTATAGTATAGTTGTGATTTTGCTGTAAACACATGTTTTATTAGTTAGTTAAACTGGGGAGCTCCAGTAAGTACGCTACACGTAAGTTTCTAAAATGGATTTACATAACCATATAACGTTGCATCTTAAATACGCTTATTTAAAATGTCTATTTACATCTGAAATGAAAATATTGTTTAAGTATTGCAGATGAGCACATCCCAACATGAAAAATACATCTGAGTGATGTAACGTTATGTGTGCTATTAATATGAAGGATAATTCACTGTTGTCAACACTACTTACATTAGACAAATGTACTGTAAATAAGGTAAATAAACAAATCTATAAAGTAACTAAATATGTTATATTTAATTTGTCCCTTATTAGTGTTGATATATTGAGGAACATTTAAGTTGGATTAAAAGTGAGTTAACACATCAACCTCACCATGTAAATTCAGTGTTGAACTCGTAATGTGAATCTTGTCTGTATGTTACAGGGACAGAAGAACACGCGTGTGTTTATCTGCTGCTGGAGAGAGGCTCATGATGCTGAATGCTGTCATGAAAGGCTCTGAGTGAGTATACTACAGAAATGGATAACAAAATCTATTCAATCTTAAATTGTAGTTTATTTGAATTATTGTACAAATTTCAAGTAGAGAAATTACAACACTTTTCTGATTCTTGATTTCTGTGCATTTGCTGCATAGCTTTTGTGGTGGAGCAAGACCTGCAAGGAAAGATGATGGCAGCATTTGTTTTAGGGATTTTACTCAAATATAAAGTAAGGTTATTTTTAATACATAAATCAAATGACATTGTGTTAAAATTACTGCTTTTGTATAATGTTTGTGCATTTTTGTAGGATCTGAAATGTCTGCAGACTGGTGTGAGCACTGAGGATGAGGAGCCTAGAGCTGCATCCTGGAAGTGGTGCCATGGATGAGTCCCTCCATCTGTCCACCTGCCCTTACAAGACCCTCTATCTCTCCACCTGCCCTTATTGCCTCAGATTGTGAAGCGCAGCGCAGCAACAAGCTCTGGGACGAAGGCACGGTCACCTCTGGTGAATTCATCAGAATAAAGCCGCAGAATGGGAACCGCTGTGTTGAGACGGCATTAGGATGTGGTGTTCAGCCCTGTAAATACATGTTTGTAGTTTGAATAAAGCTTTGTTTCATGTGTTGTTGACTTGTATAATGCATTTGTTTATTGTGATGGTTACTTTTATTTGTTCTTTTACTCATTTATTCATTTTTATTATTGTTGTCAGTATATAAAATTGAATTATTTAATTAATGTATCCATTAATTCATCGATTGACTGATAATTGAGATGTTTCACTGCATTTATGAATATAAATTTATCCATGCATAACTGTCATATGACAAAACAAATTACATTTTGCTTGTTATATTAAATTATATTTTTAGTATATAAAAAAGTTATATAATTAAGTATTGGTCAGCATTTAATATTATTATTTTGTTTAAGTTTTGGGGTGGGCTAACAATGCAATTCATTCTGAGGTAATATTAATTTTTAAGGAGTGATACTTACATTTTTCGAGTATAAAATCAACAGTTTTCTCCAAAAGAGATCTTCGAGCAGCTGCCCGTCTCCTTTGTGCAGACATTACAAACGCAGGGGAAAACTGTTCTAGGTTGTGCTGTCGAGTCACTGATGTTATGAAGTGTTAGTACACCTGTCACTCATAATTTAAACTTATAAACGTATTACATACAAGATCATGGAAAGATACCATAATAGTCATAATGACAAAACAGAAAACATAAAGATCATTGGTTTGTTTACATCATAATACAGGAAAAAGGAACAATAACAAGGCTAAATATCTTTAAATAGTTCTTCATAATATATGAAAAATGTTGTTGTTTTGTTGTTATAGGTCTGAGGGATGAAACGAGGTAAATTCATCAAGAAAAGGAGGAAAACTTTGGGTAAAAAAAAATAAAGAAATTAACAACATATATTCAAGAGGTGACGATTTGGGGGTTTCTTAATAAAAAAAATATCAGCTGTTTCTTCAACAATACCACAACAAAATGAGAAAGTTTCATCAATGTCAAGATATTTATAGATAGAAGAATTAAACGTGTCGCTGTTCATTTCTTTGCGCTTGTGATATGATGATAACACGTCGTAGTAGGTCACATGATAACGTCAACATGGCAGATGTCCGGTTCTCATTCATACTCAACGAGATTTGGCTATAAAGTACCTACTCTTTTAGCGCTCGTTGAGTAAGTACTTATTGAAATTAAGTACCTACTCATTGAGTATGCGGTTTTGGACGCAGCCACGGTTTAGTTTAAACTCAGAACCATAAATAGGGCTATACTGCCCTCTTGTGTCAAATTATATTTCTATATTTACTTTTCCAACAAATAAAACCAAACCTGCAATAAAACGGCGTCCAATACACTCTTGACCTCAACAGATGCAGTGGCTCAGTTGATAAAGCGTTGGGCTTTAATCAAGAAGACCTGAGTTGAAGTCCCATTCTTTCGTTATTTTGTTGTGATTATATCAAACAAAAGTGGCCTAAACTATATTTTTTTCAACCCGGTATCGTGACAAGACGTGAAATAATCACTTTGGTGCACTTTTGAAAACACGTAGATGTCACGGTTTAAACCCCCTCAAACGTGAAACTTACACTTAAACTGAAACTTACTTATTGGTTTTCATTAAACTGAGAAAAATGGAATTTTGTTTTATTGACGATCACTGAGAAATGGTCTAATATTTAAAATGCAAAAAAACATTTATTATTTTCAAGGTGAACAGGATTCATTTGCCTCGATCCACGCTGAAAAAAACGTCAAAAGCCAAAGTTCAGGGTTGTACTTTATTATTTTCTTCTTATTTATGTTTACGTTAATATTCACTTGTTATCTTAACATTCTATAAAAATGCTTTATTCAGTAAATATTGTTTGAACCTCATTCTGTTCTATATTGTTGTACTTATTCTTTGACTGTTTTGTTTAAAGGAGGGAGGATTGTATTGGGCGGTATTGAGTGGCAATGGTAAATGGTTTACATGGCTCACGAGTCACGGCATCACAGATCAGGTAGAGGGTCCCTTAGCAGAATTTTGCTTAGGGCCCCAGGGGGAGGTCAGGATTGGCAAAAAAGGATTGTATTTTTCCCCGAAATCTAAGCGTTTTTTATTTTTCGAGTTTTTCCATTCAATCCAGATTATTTCTTTTCAAATAAATAAATAAATAATAATAATTTAAAAAACAATAAACAACAATATGAGGAACTCTTTTGCTCATTTGTCTCATCTCTGACATTTTGCAATATTTATAAATAATAATAAGACCATAAGATGAGGCATTGCGTTTGGACATAAACACGGCCAGATAAGGCAATTTGGAAGGTGACAAATTCAACTGAATATATTCCTTCATATAGCCCGTGAGGGGGGGAGGAGGGGGGGGGGGTTGCCCTTTTTTCAGGTCAGAGCAACTGCCCCTCAAAATTCCTGTGCACGTCCCTGATTCTGATGATGTCCTGTAGAGGGAGACACGTGACTGCACGACAGGGTCAAAGGGCAATCTCAGGGTTACTTCAGATTTTTATTTTTATTTTCACGTTTATTTGTAAAGTCATTATACATACTGTGACACAGTAATGTCCACACATCAGAAATGTACAGATAACTCAATCATGCAGTTACAGTAGTTAACGGCACATATTCATTTAGACAGAAACAATGAACACATGAAGGATGATTACAGAATATTATCTTACAGTGTAATACAGTATTGTTCAGATTACAGTAGCCTATATAGATGATAATGAGTTGATTCATCAGCCAATCAGTAGTGAGATAATGTCATTTCCCTGCAGCTCTAGAGTCAGTCATGTGACATTTCCAGCTCAGGTGATTGAAAAAAAGGGTTATGTAGCATAGGGTTGTTTACTCAACTGCAAAGGACGTTTTATGCAAAAAAATGATGATAATGACAAGAAAGAACCCTTTTGGCACAAACGTTCTTATATATATATATGTGTGTGTGTATTGCGATTCTGAAACGGGATTGGCTGATTTTAACAGTGTGCGAGCTAACTTACCTGAGGGCATAAGACACGCTCTTACGCCGTTTTTTCTTTCTTTCAAAACAACAATGACATTTTAAGCTACATTACCTCAGACATGAGGCTTGTTTAAGATGAGCAAAATCTGCACAGAACCGATCACCGGTGATCAGCGCGAGATGCATGCCGGTTAGAAATGTGTCCGAGAGCGCACCACCTGGCTCTGATGTCATGCCGACGTATGTCAAAAAACTCTCGCGAGCGCAAGGCTCACCTGTCGGATTCTGCAGTCGCGCGCAGTTGCTCTCCACCGACTGCGCTGATCAAAAGCATGATGGGAAACGACTTGCTGACGACACAGCTTAATGTTCATTGGTTTAAACAACCGTGATGTATTTTTCTCTTTTAACATGTTTGATTTTAAAACTCTGATATCATGTTTTATGTGTAGGCTTATACATATTTGTTATGGGTGAATAATACACTCTCTGACAGTGCCATATGGGTTATTATGTGATTTCAAATATGATATTTTTATAAACATGATATTTTTATTTAAAAAACAATATATAAAAACATCTGTATTAAAGAAAAAAATATTGATAAACACATATTTGGAATGTAATTAAATAACAACTACTTTGGGTGTCTTGTTCATTATATTTATTTTCATATAAAAGCAACGGAACTTAAAATTACATCCAGTTTATTAGCAACACGTGCACAAGCGTGAATCCCGTGAATCCCGCGATATCAGACTTTGATCTCACAGGTGTCAGACCCACTTCGAGAACCGAGATTTGTCCGTCTTGCCTGCGCTTTTTTCACTCCTCCTCTCACTGCAGCCGCCTACTCTCGACTACATTACAGGCGAGGCGAGGCGCATCTCAAACAAGCCTAGTATTTGAAAGGAGTAGTATGTCCGAAACCTCAGTACTCATAAAAGAGTAGGCGAGAAGTTCCCGGATGATCTCCTGCTTTCGCCCCGATTTTTGAGTGTTCATCCTATGGATACTCTTCTATCCCAGGAGGCCACGGGAGAGCATACGTCATTATCAACATCGGAGATCAGCAGGGGTTTTCAAATGTGAGTAAACACGGTTTCTTGTGTTTAAATCGTATGTGTTAAACTACTATAGAGTAAACGTTTTAACTGTTGAAGGTCTAAAGGACTTAGACAGTATAGTATAGTTGTGATTTTGCTGTAAACACATGTTTTATTAGTTAGTTAAACTGGGGAGCTCCAGTAAGTACGCTACACGTAAGTTTCTAAAATGGATTTACATAACCATATAACGTTGCATCTTAAATACGCTTATTTAAAATGTCTATTTACATCTGAAATGAAAATATTGTTTAAGTATTGCAGATGAGCACATCCCAACATGAAAAATACATCTGAGTGATGTAACGTTATGTGTGCTATTAATATGAAGGATAATTCACTGTTGTCAACACTACTTACATTAGACAAATGTACTGTAAATAAGGTAAATAAACAAATCTATAAAGTAACTAAATATGTTATATTTAATTTGTCCCTTATTAGTGTTGATATATTGAGGAACATTTAAGTTGGATTAAAAGTGAGTTAACACATCAACCTCACCATGTAAATTCAGTGTTGAACTCGTAATGTGAATCTTGTCTGTATGTTACAGGGACAGAAGAACACGCGTGTGTTTATCTGCTGCTGGAGAGAGGCTCATGATGCTGAATGCTGTCATGAAAGGCTCTGAGTGAGTATACTACAGAAATGGATAACAAAATCTATTCAATCTTAAATTGTAGTTTATTTGAATTATTGTACAAATTTCAAGTAGAGAAATTACAACACTTTTCTGATTCTTGATTTCTGTGCATTTGCTGCATAGCTTTTGTGGTGGAGCAAGACCTGCAAGGAAAGATGATGGCAGCATTTGTTTTAGGGATTTTACTCAAATATAAAGTAAGGTTATTTTTAATACATAAATCAAATGACATTGTGTTAAAATTACTGCTTTTGTATAATGTTTGTGCATTTTTGTAGGATCTGAAATGTCTGCAGACTGGTGTGAGCACTGAGGATGAGGAGCCTAGAGCTGCATCCTGGAAGTGGTGCCATGGATGAGTCCCTCCATCTGTCCACCTGCCCTTACAAGACCCTCTATCTCTCCACCTGCCCTTATTGCCTCAGATTGTGAAGCGCAGCGCAGCAACAAGCTCTGGGACGAAGGCACGGTCACCTCTGGTGAATTCATCAGAATAAAGCCGCAGAATGGGAACCGCTGTGTTGAGACGGCATTAGGATGTGGTGTTCAGCCCTGTAAATACATGTTTGTAGTTTGAATAAAGCTTTGTTTCATGTGTTGTTGACTTGTATAATGCATTTGTTTATTGTGATGGTTACTTTTATTTGTTCTTTTACTCATTTATTCATTTTTATTATTGTTGTCAGTATATAAAATTGAATTATTTAATTAATGTATCCATTAATTCATCGATTGACTGATAATTGAGATGTTTCACTGCATTTATGAATATAAATTTATCCATGCATAACTGTCATATGACAAAACAAATTACATTTTGCTTGTTATATTAAATTATATTTTTAGTATATAAAAAAGTTATATAATTAAGTATTGGTCAGCATTTAATATTATTATTTTGTTTAAGTTTTGGGGTGGGCTAACAATGCAATTCATTCTGAGGTAATATTAATTTTTAAGGAGTGATACTTACATTTTTCGAGTATAAAATCAACAGTTTTCTCCAAAAGAGATCTTCGAGCAGCTGCCCGTCTCCTTTGTGCAGACATTACAAACGCAGGGGAAAACTGTTCTAGGTTGTGCTGTCGAGTCACTGATGTTATGAAGTGTTAGTACACCTGTCACTCATAATTTAAACTTATAAACGTATTACATACAAGATCATGGAAAGATACCATAATAGTCATAATGACAAAACAGAAAACATAAAGATCATTGGTTTGTTTACATCATAATACAGGAAAAAGGAACAATAACAAGGCTAAATATCTTTAAATAGTTCTTCATAATATATGAAAAATGTTGTTGTTTTGTTGTTATAGGTCTGAGGGATGAAACGAGGTAAATTCATCAAGAAAAGGAGGAAAACTTTGGGTAAAAAAAAATAAAGAAATTAACAACATATATTCAAGAGGTGACGATTTGGGGGTTTCTTAATAAAAAAAATATCAGCTGTTTCTTCAACAATACCACAACAAAATGAGAAAGTTTCATCAATGTCAAGATATTTATAGATAGAAGAATTAAACGTGTCGCTGTTCATTTCTTTGCGCTTGTGATATGATGATAACACGTCGTAGTAGGTCACATGATAACGTCAACATGGCAGATGTCCGGTTCTCATTCATACTCAACGAGATTTGGCTATAAAGTACCTACTCTTTTAGCGCTCGTTGAGTAAGTACTTATTGAAATTAAGTACCTACTCATTGAGTATGCGGTTTTGGACGCAGCCACGGTTTAGTTTAAACTCAGAACCATAAATAGGGCTATACTGCCCTCTTGTGTCAAATTATATTTCTATATTTACTTTTCCAACAAATAAAACCAAACCTGCAATAAAACGGCGTCCAATATACTCTTGACCTCAACAGATGCAGTGGCTCAGTTGATAAAGCGTTGGGCTTTAATCAAGAAGACCTGAGTACAAGTCCAATTCTTTCGTTATTTTGTTGTGATTATATCAAACAAAAGTGGCCTAAACTATATTTTTTTCAACCCGGTATCGTGACAAGACGTGAAATAATCACTTTGGTGCACTTTTGAAAACACGTAGATGTCACGGTTTAAACCCCCTCAAACGTGAAACTTACACTTAAACTGAAACTTACTTATTGGTTTTCATTAAACTGAGAAAAATGGAATTTTGTTTTATTGACGATCACTGAGAAATGGTCTAATATTTAAAATGCAAAAAACATTTATTATTTTCAAGGTGAACAGGATTCATTTGCCTCGATCCACGCTGAAAAAAACGTCAAAAGCCAAAGTTCAGGGTTGTACTTTATTATTTTCTTCTTATTTATGTTTACGTTAATATTCACTTGTTATCTTAACATTCTATAAAAATGCTTTATTCAGTAAATATTGTTTGAACCTCATTCTGTTCTATATTGTTGTACTTATTCTTTGACTGTTTTGTTTAAAGGAGGGAGGATTGTATTGGGCGGTATTGAGTGGCAATGGTAAATGGTTTACATGGCTCACGAGTCACGGCATCACAGATCAGGTAGAGGGTCCCTTAGCAGAATTTTGCTTAGGGCCCCAGGGGGAGGTCAGGATTGGCAAAAAAGGATTGTATTTTTCCCCGAAATCTAAGCGTTTTTTATTTTTCGAGTTTTTCCATTCAATCCAGATTATTTCTTTTCAAATAAATAAATAAATAATAATAATTTAAAAAACAATAAACAACAATATGAGGAACTCTTTTGCTCATTTGTCTCATCTCTGACATTTTGCAATATTTATAAATAATAATAAGACCATAAGATGAGGCATTGCGTTTGGACATAAACACGGCCAGATAAGGCAATTTGGAAGGTGACAAATTCAACTGAATATATTCCTTCATATAGCCCGTGAGGGGGGAGGAGGGGGGGGGGGTTGCCCTTTTTTCAGGTCAGAGCAACTGCCCCTCAAAATTCCTGTGCACGTCCCTGATTCTGATGATGTCCTGTAGAGGGAGACACGTGACTGCACGACAGGGTCAAAGGGCAATCTCAGGGTTACTTCAGATTTTTATTTTTATTTTCACGTTGATTTGTAAAGTCATTATACATACTGTGACACAGTAATGTCCACACATCAGAAATGTACAGATAACTCAATCATGCAGTTACAGTAGTTAACGGCACATATTCATTTAGACAGACACAATGAACACATGAAGGATGATTACAGAATATTATCTTACAGTGTAATACAGTATTGTTCAGATTACAGTAGCCTATATAGATGATAATGAGTTGATTCATCAGCCAATCAGTAGTGAGATAATGTCATTTCCCTGCAGCTCTAGAGTCAGTCATGTGACATTTCCAGCTCAGGTGATTGAAAAAAAGGGTTATGTAGCATAGGGTTGTTTACTCAACTGCAAAGGACGTTTTATGCAAAAAAATGATGATAATGACAAGAAAGAACCCTTTTGGCACAAACGTTCTTATATATATATATGTGTGTGTGTATTGCGATTCTGAAACGGGATTGGCTGATTTTAACAGTGTGCGAGCTAACTTACCTGAGGGCATAAGACACGCTCTTACGCCGTTTTTTCTTTCTTTCAAAACAACAATGACATTTTAAGCTACATTACCTCAGACATGAGGCTTGTTTAAGATGAGCAAAATCTGCACAGAACCGATCACCGGTGATCAGCGCGAGATGCATGCCGGTTAGAAATGTGTCCGAGACAAGTGTGTAATCCATCAGCCGGAAGTTGAAGCCTCGCGGGAGCCGCCATTGTAGCAGAGCATCTCCTGCTGTTAGCATCCCATTGACTCCCATTCATTTTGGCGTCACTTTGACAGCGAATAACTACTTAAAGCAAGGAAATGTTGCTCCCATAATGTAATGTAATAGTTGAATGACAGTGGATTATGAACTCGCCAAAATGGAAAAGAAAGCCCAACTGGACACAGGATCAGTTACTGCTGCTGACCCAGTTGGTGCTAGAGAAAAAAAAACATAATAAAAGTGAAATTCGGCGCTGGGATATCAAGCAAAACTAAGCGTGAGACATGGAAGAGGATTTGTTTGCAGATGAATGCAGAATTCCCGCCTGTGTCGCGGACCTCGGACGACTGCGAGAGGCGCTGGTATGCGCTACAATCCTTTGTGAAAAGGTCTTAGTGAGTTAGGAGTCCTCTCGACTTCTTTTAAGCCGTCCCAGACTTAGGTGCTACTTTTAGGGCTAAAATGCTTCATGAATTACTCTTAGTGAAAAAAATTAGGAGTCTTAAAGTTAGGAGTGACACGCCCCTTATTTTTAGGAGTTTCTCCTAAATTCGCCAGTTACTTTTAGCCTTAAAATTCTTTGTGAATACGGCCCCAGGTCTTCAACTGCTGATGGATGTCAGTGATGATGATGATGATGAAGATGTCAGTGATGTGTGTTCTTGAGAACATGATGAAGGGTTTGATGAGAATCACTCTTTACAGGCTCATCTGGATCACAGGACACTAGAAAAATACACATATATGCACATTATCCTCATATACATTGCTTTGAATTTTTATATGTATTGTGATCTTGGTCAATAACACAATCTGTAAATGTTTAATGACTGCAGAAAGTCAGTCTGATGAATTTGTCTGAATGTGACACTTTATGACAGGAGAGAAAACAACAGAAATCTAACAGTGAAACTCAAAAATGTGTCAAAAGACTATAAAGTTAATGATCAAACACTCACAGTCTGGCGTTAGTTTCTTCATACTGTCACATCAAACACGTCTCTCTCCTCTTTCCTCTCGTGATTCACTGGTTTGTGTGTCATTTCTGTCCTCCGTGTTTCTCTCAGTCTTCTTGTTTTCTGCTGATCTGTGATTTCTGCTGATTTTCTTCCTTCTCTTCATTTGAACCTGTTCAATCACACAGACAGAGTTTCATTAAAGTGATATAACATCATATCATGAGACATCAGATTAATCCTTAAAGGGATACTCCACTTTTTTTGGAAATAGGCTCATTTTACAACTCCCCCAGAGTTAAACAGTTGAGTTTCACCGTTTTCAAATGAATTAAGACGATTTTCTGATATTTAGAGGAATATCTGTAGCCAGACAGTTTCTGGTCTCATTGACTACCATAGTATATAGTAAAAATTCCCCTCAAATTACCTACTATAGCCCTATTCGCACGGGATTAGTATTATCTGGTGACCTGTAGTAATTTGTAATAATTGCAGAGTTTGTCTGTGATCTTTATCAAGTGCGAATCGGCCATGTCTGTAATTTGTAAAGTAAAAATTCCCCCGCAAATGACCTACTATATTTTGCCGAACACCGAGGTTCTGTGATAATACTAGTCCCGTGCGAATCGACATCTCTGTGATTTGGCCCGATCGTATATAATTTTTTCAAGGTTTTTGTTTCATCTGCGGAGAATAGAGGCTGAGTTGGAGTGTTTTGATAGTATTTTGGGTGCGGGGTCATTTCGCGAGTACAACTATACAATTTGCAGAAAGAGAAAGCTGAAAACCATCAGAAACAAGGAAACAAAAAGAATGATGAACGTTAGATGGAGATGAATGACATGTTTAGCAGCATACGGTAAGGACAATTCTTCTGTTTATCATATACAGCTAATAATAACGACTAGACATTTCAAAG